TGGGAGGTATAAGAATGTTGGTGTTGCCCTAGCCTAAAGGACTTACATGTGCAATCTTTCCATAACCGTAACCTTCTATAACAACCACTTGTTATGCATAGTGCCTGCACTTCACAATTAGGTCTCCTTCCAAGAATTCCTATTTCTATCATTGTACTGTACTTGGACTTAACCACAGAGCTTCATATTTAATTACAGGCTTCTTATTAGGTTACAGAAGCTAAAATCTTTCAATTTTGCCTCCAGCCAAACTTGAACTATTGACCTTGACTATAGAGGATATGGGAGCTTAACTGCTAAGCTATAGGACCCACACCCTTAAAGAACATTGTTTAAAAATATGTATAAACACTAAAGATCTTAGCAAAATTGTTAAAAAAGAAAAAAAAATTTATATATATTAGAATATAAAAATTTTTTATTAATTAAAAAAATTAATATTAATAAAAAATTTATAAAAAAGTAATAAAACAGATAAAGGAAACTTCAATATTGAAGGAGTGTGGCAACCTAGTGAAGTGGATAGGTTGTCAACCCCCAAGTGACAGGTTTAGAACTTAAATCCCAGTGATAGCGAAAATTTGCAATTTTTTCTGTGTTATGGTTAACTGTCTTCTGTGATTGGTTGGGATAAGACATTTGTAACCTGTGTCATACCAGTATGACTAGAAGGTCTAGGCATTCGTGTAATATTATATGAAGGAACACAAACTAGTACCAGGCAGTGTAAATTCAAAATAAGTCCTTAGGCTGTATAAACATGAGAACCAGGTAGGAAGATAGAAGCCTACTTGGAAGACCTGAGTAGAGAAGTAACCTAAACTTTTAACAGTGCTACTGTAAAGACTAGACCTATGAAAAAGAGCTAGAACTTGTGAACTCAGAAAAAGAGCCAGCCTTTGAGAAGAGGCCGAATGAAACTAATCAGGTCACTGGAATTTCTGGGTTTCGGAAGAAAAGGTTACATGCTAGCAAACATGTAAATCAAAGGTGTATGGTTACAACTTGTCTTTTCAGGCTATCTGGTTTGGAAGCTTGGTAGAACTTGAAATGAATACCAAAGTAGTAAGGATATATTGTGAAGTCAGTACCAGGGTTGGAGTGAACTCTACAAGAACATAGTAGTTAAATGGTACACCCTGACTGCCAGTGTTGGTCTTGGCTATAGCAATATCAGATTAGCTATAAGAATAGGATACAGAAGATTCTGGAAGGTTTAGTATAAGGTCAAAGGTTTTCCATATAAGTGAACTGCTTTAAAGACTTAGTGATCATGATATATTTGCACTGGTATCAACTAGGGCATCTTGGTAGATGTAGGTAGATGGGTGGATACAGGAACAGAGTGGTTAAATAGAAAACTTACAAGTAGGTTTTAGGTATGACAGCTAGTGTAGAACCTTCAGGCAGACTACTTAAATTAGACAATGACTAAAGTTGTACAAGTGACTAGTTGTACACTCTTTTCATGGTTGCCCCCTGTGGTTGTAATGCAACCGTTAACTGTATGTACTATTAATAAAATCCTGGGTCATAAGTACTCACCTTAATATTTAAAAAAAAAAAAAAAAGAATATATAATTAATTATAATTATTTAATAGTTTAATAAATTACCAATGTGAATATAAAGTTTAATTAAATTTACTTTAACCTTTGTGTTTTAAGATAATGTATACTCAACTATAATTATATAATTATTTAATAAATCATCAGAGTAAGATGAAGTTTACTTCTGTTTACTTTAATATTTATATTTCAAAACAATGTATAATTAACTGTAATTATTTAATCTTTAATAAATTATCAAGATGTGTATGAAAATTAATTCTGTTCATTTTAGCATTGTGTTTTAAAAGAATTTATAGATTATTAATTGTAATCATTTAATTATTCAATAATGATTACACAGGTTTTTATAAAGTTTTTTCTGCTTACTTTAATGTTTGTATAATAATTCTAAAATAATTAACTACATACGGTGGTTATTAAATAGTAAGTGAGTTTTATAATAAATTTTTTAAATCAAGCTATAATAAAAATTACAATATTCTAATACTAACTCATCTTTGACCACTATTCATACTGCATTGGTAAATTCTTTATAGTAAATCATAATAATTCTGATATAACCTACTCAAATTTAACCGCATACTGCAATGGATAAGATGTTTAGTAATAGAGTTTTTAACAAAAAATAAAAAACCAAATAAGATGGGTGACGCGAATGCGCCACCTATCGCACTAGTGTAATTTATTGCACTTATTGCATTTCGTGAAGTTTTCACGTGATCAGTCACGGTACCGACACGTCGTTCGAAGTTGTAACTATCCATCTCATGTGCGACATTATATTAATAAATATGAATACCCCGATCACATCATCTCATAAAGACGGTCGCTTAGATAGCATTAATAGGATAATATACATAGATTATATAGTATTAATAATATCCGTCATAACTGTCACTAAAAACTTAAGTAGCTTTATTTCTTATAAATAGTGTCTTTGGTACCACAAATAAGACATATTTTACCACCTTACAAATAAATTTCTTATATAAGACAATGTGTCATAAAAGATTGGCTAATCTAGAGTTCCTTATGCAAGAAATGTGTCATAAAAGAATCGATAATTTAGTCATAATAGAGCTTTCGATGTAATGTTTGTCATGATCTTGAAATGTCTCGTAGAAAATTTTCGTTGAAAAAAATTCTCTTCAGCAATAAATTTTAAACGCGTGTTCAAAAGGGTTGTCATTCCCAACAGCAATAGGAAAAATCCTCTTGTCCGCTATTGAGCCTCCCTCTACGAATATTATATGAAATTTTGAAGTAATCGTATTACATGTTGTGCCAACATCATTTTATATTATTTAACATTCGAGTTAACGTTCGATTAAATAAGACATAAGGCTATCAAAAGTTGATTATTCGCTTTATTTTCCGTAATGTATTTTTTTAAATTTATTGTCTTGCCATTAAGATTTGTCAATATCGAAACGGTAGCAGACGATATTGAGCAATTCGATTTTTTTTTTAAGCCCCTATTAATAAAAAATCTCGAGTTTTAAATGTTATTTTAAATGTTATATTTATATCTCACTATGCACCCCATATGACAACAATGACCTGCAGTATTTTCATACTGGCATGGTAATGATGAGGTAGAAGTAAGGATTTCCATCTGATCATTAGCAACAAACTCTTGATATGAGTTACGAGACAACTCATAATCATTAGCGATCGGCTGAGATAAATCACATAACATCTCATACAATTCATTAATATTAGCAACGAGCTCTTGAGATGAATCATAATTATTAGCAACTGGTTGAGACAAATCATGTAACGTCATATACAATTTATTATAATTAGGAATGAGCTTTATTTCCTTCTGAAGTGACTCATGAGACAATTTGTAATTATTAGAAACGAGCATCATTTCTTCTTGAGGTGAATCATAAGACAGTTCATAATAATTATCAATGAACTCTATTTTTTCATGAGATAAACCAGGAAGCAATACATGATCATCATTGGAAGTGAGTGTAGGAGGTTCTTCTTTGGGTTTCGGTTTGGGACCACGCTTTTTGTGGGGAACGGAATAAGTACATTCAACATTATGCTTTAAGCATTCACTGCATTTATCTGGTTGATCGAGAAATCCGATATTTCTACACCTGACTTTTAGGTGTCTGCAAGAATCGCACGCTACGGTTACGTTGTATCTTGGTGTTGAGAGAGAGGGCATTTTGAGTTTTCACAATTAATTATTTGTAAATTGCAAAGATGATAACTATTTAACTCTCATTTATAAACAAATCTCGGAAAATCGGGAAATTAATTTCTTCTAATTAAAGTTGCTTGTGAAACTAAATTAAACTGGTGAATCTAAAAATGATTGCCTGTTCTAGTAGATTATGAACGGAGCAATTAATTCTTTTTTACCTAATCGACTATTTTGAGCCGTATTCAAAGAAGGCAAGAATAGTAAATGAAAAAATCGAATCATTGTTACTGACATGGAAAATTATTTAAAATTCTACGCATATGTTAATTTATCAAAAAACTTTCATAAGACAAATGGGAGAAAAAAATTCTACTTTATAGTTTTCCAGTTTCAGTGCTTCAAATTACAAATTACCATAAATTATTATTCCTCAGCTACAAAATTAATAGTAACCTTAAAATATAACAAAGCAAAATGATATTGAGGAATTATTTTCATACATCAGTTTCGCATGGCACAAAAATAAGTCCTCAATAACATTTAACTAGAGTAAATGAATAATAGTTTCGATAATAATCTTAAAGTCACAAATCACAATAAATCATGTGTCAATATATTCTATGTATAAAATCCTGGAACACCATTTTAGTAATTACATAACGATAATTACCAATGAGCTACACATACGTATATGCGCATATAGCCGAGAGAATCATGTTATCGCTAAAAAAAAAATTTAAGGGAATAGATATAAATTTGGAATTCTGGATTTTAATTCTCTTTGAGAGCACCCCATTATGGACAGCCGTCAATAAAAATCAATTTATCTAACAAATCTGTCCGATTTCTATCGATGGTTGTAGATAATTTAGATAATTATAGTGTGGACGAAGGTTTAAAGAATACATAAATAATGTGCATCAACAACAAATAATCAAGGAAGAACAAGGAACCCAGTGATTATTACATCACGTTGTGAGACCCGAATGGACCCTGGCCGTTTGGGAGTCCATTACTTAATTAGGGAAAAATCGATCGCATCCGTCGCATGTGACAGATGTGACGGATATCAGCGATCGGTCTGAAGGGTATTTTAGGAGATATCAGTAGGATACGATGCATCGGTAGCATCAGCGATATCAGTTGTATCTATCGCAGGATGTAAATAGAATTTTACAATTATAAATAAAGGCAAAAGGCCCTTCAGGAAGAAGAACTCCCCCCTTTGCAATTAAACCAGTACATAATACCTATCGCTCATAATCGCTTAGTTAATAATAATAAAACTGATTACTTTATTATAAATAATTGTCACCTATATATACTACATAATCTGACCCTAACTTGTTATTACATGAGAACGCTAGTACATTTGCCCAATAACAAACCCAAAACCTCTTTCGCTGTAGAACTCGACTTATACCATATTAACCACCCGCCAAATCTAACACGCCTCGCTCGACCTGATATTAACCCTCTTAAGTGGTTACACGACATATCCAAGTGTGAAGCGACTGAGCGCCGTTTTACGTTTACAACGTGAGTTCGTGCATTAATCATTTGTTTACTTATTTGCACCGATGATAGAATCCCAATAAGGAAATTATCTTATGTAACATAAAATGATGGTTTTTTTAAAAAAATAGCCGCTAACTCAAAATTCTACATAATAAACCACCTTTCACGTTCTAATAAAAAAAATTCCTCGCAAAATTTTAGTATGCATTAAGCCTTATTCTTAACTCTAACGCTGTGATTCTCACGTTATTTATGCAAATAAAAAAATATTGGGGTTTTCCTTTTTTGGGATTGTATCACTCAAATAAGTAAACAAATGATGTAATAATCACTGGTTCTTCAGGTCTCTCAACAATCATTACAAGTCATATTCCAAAACAAGCTAATAAAGTTCAATTCACATTATGATGTCCAACAAGTATATCTGCTTACTAATGGGATCTATTCGATTTTAATTATCTATTGTTACGGGTATATCTGGACCAAGACGAGGCCCAGTTAGTGATGTGCATTTCATGTTTTTTTTAGTGTACAGTACGTACTGACGCTAAAGTTTTTATCGATCACTTGTATATGAATTATGTCAACCAATCAGATCACTTGAAACAACTATACGCACAGTTAGGGTTGGTGGTGCAAGTGTGCACCACTGCTGCACCATTAAGTTATCATATAAATTTAAAGCATTGCGCCAGTGGCGACGCCACTTGTACCAACAACCCTACGTACAGTATGTACGTACACTAAAAAAAAAAATCAGAAAAAACATGAAAATACACATCACTAGGCTCGGCACTAGATATGGGCTTTATGCATGCGCATGATTGCATTAATGCGCATTTTATCCCATCAAGATTTCTCTCCTCTCGATCGATTTTTCTTTTTTTGCCTTTTTTTTATGCATTAATGCGCATTCATGCGCATGTTATTATAAAATGCGCATTTTTCCCATCACTACTCGGCACACCACAAGAATGAAAGAAGGAAGGAAAGGATATGCCGCGTAACGTTCCTCGACGTATTCAGAGGCGGAACGATATGGCACAGGTTTAGGGAAAGGGCTTTAAAGAACGTATTATAGTTTTATTATTATTATTGTATTATTTATTTATTTATTTATTTCCGGTCTTTTTATTTGAAGAGCTTTTTATTATATTTGTAGATCGGGAACTCTTCTTTGACAGAGAAAACCAGTCCGTTTTTATAAGAAAATTACAGAGAAATGAGAAAGGAATTTCGAACGCTTTTAACCTGCCAGAACAGTAACCAAAGTGAATTAGTAAAGCAGGGCAGGTGAATGTTAAAATTGCGAGTTTTAAATTGCAGCCTGTTCAGACGACAGTCATAATGAAAGAGTGCCCAATCGAGATGATTGCTAATAATAGTATTTAAAGAGGAATTGTAATAGCCAATCATGAAGACTGCGCAGGTGCTCAAAGGTGGGAGAGACATACCCATATATTGTTTTTCATGGTATAGTTACACGAAAATGAGAGACAAACAAATTTCACACGTGTGATATATAGTGCCAGCACTATGAAAAATTTAGCTGTCATTAAATATCAGGTAAATAGACAAATTAATCTGTGTCGGGTTACCAATTTTTGAGTCTAAAATTCTATCATTAGTTATCGCAACTATGACATCGCTTACGTTTGCGTTTTTTTGTTTTCAATTATACTCTGTAATTACATATCCATAAATAATGCGAACCAATCAAACTTAAGATTTGTGAACAAATCACACTTCATACAGCATATATTCCATACACATTCGTTTCTGGTATTAGAAATTAACCTAAATATGTTAATGCAGGCCAGAAATTATATTAATGCTGACCAGATGAAATGGTATTGCCGGCTAGATAATTTTATTTTTGGATCATATAAAATCCCGCGCGTGCCCATCTCCAGTAAAGCCCATATGCAATTCCTAATTACACAACTATAGTTTGTAAAATAGTGCAATAAGTTCGCATCTATAATAAATATAGAAATAAGTAATCAATATGATGCATATAAAAAGAAATATCCAATCCAAAACACTTAACTTGCCGTTTAACTATACAATCAGTTCCTGGTAAAAGACAATTATTAAAATAAATTTTATTACGTTACCTTTCAACAGTTTCGTAACCTTTTAACAGTTTCATCATTTTCGTCACCTTTCGTCACCTTTCGTCATTTCGTCTTTTTAACTTTTTTTTGACGAAACTCTTAGGTTTCGTCTAACAACATTAAGTAAAACAAAATAATATTCAATTAAATTTAATATAAAAAACCCTATTAATAAAATTGATTAACATTCAATTAATTTAGAATAAAAATACTTATACTAATTTTGATATTTATTCATCTTTTCCAGAATTTTTTAAACTTTACAATTTCTGATTGTTAACTCTACCAAGTATCATATGTTTATATTTATATGGAGAACATATTTATCAAGTAATATATTCTCAAATCTTTGTTTTTTACAAAGAACATGTTTAAAGTAAGTATAAGATATTAGTCATAATATCATGAAATTTGTTTTGTCAGAGCAAATGATTAGCCACTACACGGCACGTTTCAGCCGATCATTTACTCGACAGAACAAACTATCTTTGCATGATCCAATATCAACGTTATCGTTACAGCATAGACAGTGCCCGATCCAAAATGAATCCCTCTCGCCTGTGATCAATCGCAAATTAAATTATTTATGTTGGATTCAATTGTGATGGATATAATCCCTCACCAGTTTTAATATGTGTAACATTGACGGTCTCTGCTGTTCGTTATCGTGCAATTATAATCATGATTTATAAGTTGTGGTTGCTAAATGAGTTTTAATTTGGGATTTCTGTGCTTACATAATAACGCAAAAAATAACAAGAAAAAAATCTATAATCATAAAAGTATGCACGATAACAGATATTCAAAATCTAAAGATATGTTTTCATGAGAAAATCAGATTTCCAACACTGGCGCCAATACATCAATGGCGTAAGTTATTTGATATTCAACCATCTGCGGATTAATTATAATTAGATTTTCATTTTATAAATTTGGCGAAAGGTCCGAAAGATGTACAGTCATTCAGTAAATGAAATCATACAAGCAATGATCATTTCATTTTCATTTTTGGTGGGTAAATTGATGTATCCAGATCCGGATATTTGTAATATTTAAATAAAAAAATGAATACGTATACAGAATATCACACCATTTTGAAAACGTGTTTTGGATTTATTTAAGGTTTTTTGTTTATTATTATTATTTATTATTATTATGATAATGATAAAATTTTATTTATTTATAGTTATTTATATTATGGTTACATAAATTTTTTTTTTGGAAGATTCGGCGTCAACACAATATATTCGGGTATGTAAAACAACGTGTAACATAAAACCAAAAAAAAAATCTCATGACTACGTATAGAGGCTAACTTTAGTCATTAGATAAAGGTTTTTAGCACGAAATTAGTTATATAAATTCTATTTAGTATTAATGAAAATATTCAATATTTAAATAAGATTTTAAGATTTATCTATATCAGTGTTGTTAGGTCAGTCATAAGACTACAGTGACCAGAATTAGCGTTAGAATTAGGTTAGAGTTATATGTGCACAACATTAGCAGGATTTATCATATAATTATTGTCCATAGCCGCAAACGGATACCGAATTAGAACCGCAGGTGATTTTTAATATTTCATCGACAAGCAATTGGATAATAATTAAGTCACATTCTATAAACATCCCCTACGGTTCAAATTCGGGTACCCGTTTGCAGCACACTACGTAGCAACTTCTTTGCAACATTATCACCACCATTGTCATCATTATCACCATTGTCATCATTATCAACATTAGCACTATGATCTCATGATCATGATTATCATAAGACTTTGAATCAAATGCCTTTTACGTAATCAACCAATCAAAATACCAATTACTATAATGTTTGTCATAATAATTACCATTATATATTTGTTTAGAAAAACTACGCTTTAAAAGGCAATAAAGTTCTTATGAATGAATTATGTGACAATTGTACATACGCACATATTCCTTATTTAAACACAATGATTAAGAAAAAATATTATAAAAAAAAAAAAAATTGAAACTCATTATACAATCGTAATTATGTAAATAATGTCACGGATAATATTGAAACCGGGTGTTAGGATTTTAAAATACAAGTCATAACAAAATCAACCTATACTATTTATTAGCAATACTAGCTTTAAATCATAATCATTAATAAAGCAACAAACGAGGCCCAATGAAATAGATCTTAATTTTAGTATCATTATTGACATTCATGACAAATAATACAATACTAGTAATCTAGTTTCTAGAATCTAATATTTAGAATCAAATATTTAGATCCTAGCATTAAAGTACATTTATACCCTGGTCACTATATCAAGATCGTAAGGTATAAATGAATTATACCCTGGGTACTCCAACTACCAAGATATAACTATTTCTAGTATATCGGAAGTCCAACTCTTCATATACTTATTTTTTTATTTTAGGGAATTGTTTAATGGTATAAATTTACTCTAATTAAATGAAGATGTAAAGTTTTCTACTATGCTTTCTTTTTAAAATAAAAAATTTATAAAGAGAAGTACCCGAAGTTTGTTAACTAATGCATGCAAGATAATCTAATTTCAGGGGCTAGTTTCAGTCGGTGCAGATGCAGATGCCAACTTCAAGCGGTGCATGACAAATAACAATATATATTTTCATATGGGAACTAGGTTTTCAGGTACGTACGTACTGTACATACGTTATTCATTATACGTATTTAAATATACAGTACGGATATTTTATCTAAGGTAACGATTTTCTTACTAATTTTAGAAAATTCTATACCTACATACAAAAAGTCATTACAAAATAGCAAAAGAAATAATGAAAGGAAAAAGGAAAATAGTGGAACCGAGATCTTTGAGCTTTTCACATCATACACGCATAAGCTAATTAATTCTTCAAATTAGAATATGATCATAAGTATCCATTTTTCTTTGAAAAAATTTAATGTTTGTAACCTTGTTTTACCTGATATTAATTAAGTAGTACGTACGTACTAATTTATCCATAACAGATTATGTGATCTGCAATTATTACACATTACGTGTAAAATATGAAATGATAATAATTAATATCACAATATTGAGTATCGATTGAGTCTCAAATTTTATATTTAAGGATTCCGTCTTTCTGGAAAGTTTCAAACAAAAAAAAACTCCAATGCCGAAAAGTAAAAAAACTATTATAAACCCTAAAAATAAAGGAGAACCTACCGAATGGAAAAAGGCTCCAAGAACAGGAAAATTACAAAAAACCAGAGCATTAAAACTTGATGATATACATACACTTAATGAACTACATAAAATTTTAGAATTATTGAAGTGTGATGTACCTCTAAGTATCCATGAACACGTTTCGAAGGAAGAAGTATTAAAAACCGAGAAGCACTGTTATGAATGGGCAAAGTCGTTAGGATTAATTTCGAAAAAGACCACGAATACTGAATTTAAAGGAAGCAAATTTGGACGACTTATTTGTTACATATTTCCAACAACAACCTTTAAAAGACGTTGCCTTGCTATCGATTTTTTTAATTGGTTATTTTTTGTTGATGATTTAATTGATAATAATAAAGATCTAAAAGGAAAACCCGAAGAAATAAAAATAGTACTTGATAAATTCAAAGCTATTTTAGATGATAAACCGAAATCAGAAGATTTACAAAGTCCAATTGCCATTGCACTACGGGATGTATGGGCTAGAATAAAAATTATAACTACAAAGGCATGGCAATTAAAGTTTTGCAATAGTATTTCGCTTTACTTTGATGCATGCTGTGTGAATGCCCAGAATGAACTTACAAACAATATTCCTAATTCTGTGGATGCATATATAAAGATTAGAAGAAATTCAGGGGCTGTGATGACTAGTTTTAATTTAATCGAGCCCTTGCTCGGTATTCAAATTTCTTATGATAATCCAGACTTACAAAACCTTATGGATTATTGTAATGATCATATTTGTTTTACCAATGACCTTTATTCACTCCAAAAAGAATTAAAGGAAGGTGAAATCGATAATATTATTATAGTTTTACACCGTTTGCATCGATACTCTTTACAAGAGGCTATTATTCATACAGTGGATTTGGCCAATAAACGAATGACACAAATTCAAGAAATTTCCAACAGATTAATAAATTTTAATTTGGATATTGATCAAAATGTTAATAAATGTGTCAATGCGTTATTAAATATAATTGTTGGTTCTCTTTATTGGCATAAAAGTTCTGGTAGATATTCAACTAAAAAAAATGAAACTGGTGGTTTAAGGTTATCGATGTAGTTGTTGATTCTTTTGATATTTTGTATATTTGATTTTGAATGAACAGTTTCACTTGCATGTAAATACCATTTCTATCAATATTTTTCATCTATACTTTATCTATAATTTATCTATAATTTATCTATAATTAACAAAGTTATAAAATCGTAAATTTTACTTCAGTTTGCATTGTATAACTCACTCTCGATATAAGTCAGTCTATATAAAATTCTCGACAAAGTGAATTTACTAATAAAACCTTGTTAATAAATTTTTAATCCACTTTTATTAATGGAACGGTTCACTTCATTATGAGAGTAGTTTTCCATATGTCGATTAAGATTACGCAACCATTTAAACCATAAGTAAAAATTAATTTAAAAGTAACACTAATAATACTGAAAGTATAATTTTAGAATTATTACCGTTATACAAATCATTTATGTACGTAGGTATTAGGGTAGTAAATCGACTAACAAGCACCCGATATGTCACATGTAAAATTTTTAAAATAAGTAGCTGCGCAATGCAGTTGCGCAAAACCAGGAGCGGGACAAATCAATTCAGACACCATTCCAGTTACTGGTAAACCATTATCTTCATTGCAATCCATTCCTAGTATAAGAAAGTAACTCTTTATAAAAGAAGTCGATAGTACTTGTAATCTGTATATTTGTTTGAATTTCAATGACTGAGTCTAAAAACTTATTGATAATAAGTAGCTGCGCAACGCAGTTGCGCAAAACCAGGAACGGGAGAAATCTATGCAGACATCATTTTAGTCACGGGAAACCATATTCTTTATTGTAATCCATTCCTGGCATAAGAAAATGACTTTATAAAAGAAGTCGATAGACTTGCAATCTGAGTATTGGTTTGAATTTCGGTGACCGAGCCTAAAAACCTATTGATGAAGTCAATGTCTGACTGCTATATAGTTGGTTAGTTAGCGTCACTCGGTTCCAATGAATCCGACCCAAACTTCTGGGGCCCTGCAAAAAACATTAAAATCTATGAAACATGATCGACAAATTCTTTCGATAAAGTCTTTGATGATCAGTGATTATCATTTTATCAGCCCGATAAAAAATTCGATGACAAAAATATCGTTTGTTATAGCATCTTCGATTTTATAGATGTATACGCTCATTTATGTTTTCTTAAAAAAATATTGAATGATGAATAAGTCACGCGGACCAATCAATTCCAAGATTTTGCATACAGAGGCTGGTACCTGCCTTTTAAAGTATTGTTCGGGGTGCTACACAAAGTCACAATGACAGATTACTCAATCATATGCTGAGAATTGTACACGCATATTACCTTGCCTGTAAACCATAAGTAGCTGCGCAACGTTGTCGCGCGAAACCAGGAACGGGAGAAATATACGCAGACACCATTTCAGTCACCGGAAACCATATTCTTCATTGCAATACATTCCTGGTATAAGAAAACGACTCTTTATAAAAGAAGTTGATAGTACTTGCAATCTGAATATTGGTTTGAATTTCAGTGACTGAGCCTAAAAACCT